GTGATCAGTAGCACTTCTTTTCCTGATAAGAAGGCTCAAATGCTAAATTTGATAATTGGAACTATTTTTCTATCACCCTTCCCTGTAGGACCCTTTTAAATTATCAAAAAATGAAATTGGAACAGAGTCTTGGGCTCAGCCCTCTTCCTACTGAAACTCTTGTTCGTATTGCCATGAATTTGAAGTCATTAATTGTGTGCTTCTCACCATCAGTGTTTTGTTAGTACTGCTGTGAAAATACTGCCTTTGGGTTTGTGTTTGGAAGCTTTGAAATGTGTGTGAGCTGATCACTCTTGATTATCTGATACCAGTCAGATCTGTATCAGCAGCATATTTTGGGAGTTAATTAAGAGGCATCGCCATGATCTGAAGTGAGCTGTGGTCGTCTCAGAAAGCCCGAATCAGGTGCAATTCTGTCTGGTTAGATGTTCTGTATGTAGAAAAAGGAAAATTGATAAAAAGACAACAAACTTTACTCTTGACAAAATTCAACAACAAATATTTTTATCTTGGCAGTACTGCAAGTCCTTGTTTTACCCTTATCCACTAATAGAAGCTTGAATTAGTAAACACTTTCTCTAAAATATGGCATTGCTAGTACTGTTTGTCTCTTGCATTTCTTCCTGTAGAAGTGGCAGAAGTCTGTTGCTGTGGTTGGTTGCACTTCTAGAAGCTGTGGAGGATTCGGCTGCTATAAGAAGAATGTTGATACTGGAAACGTTAGTGGTTTGGGAACTCTCAGTGAAAAGACTTTGCCGTTCAAGTTCTCTTCACTGTTTTGCAGCTTGAAAGAGATTTTTTTGGTTGTTGTAGCATTCTAAAGAATCATACATACCTTCAGACACATTTATCTTGTTGCCTGTGCTTGGAAAGTTTGATTTAACCTGAATCATTTGAGTGTATCATTTCAGTATGAAGTATTTCTCTTTTTATCTAGTGATGTTCTGTGGTTCCCATGCTGCTTTATGATAGGGGCAAAAGGAATGCCTCAATTCCTTTTAAGGGAAACTATCAGATTACTTTTGGAAGAGTCTTTGCCATAAATTTGCTAGTACTTTGCCAGTACAGAAAGCTTCTGAATGACATTAAATGTTTCCAGTGTGAGTTCCAAAAGAAACTTATGCGTTGCAATTCCTGGGCAAAGGGTTTTGAAATGTAGGCAATGCCTGTGAAATCTTAATCTAAAACTGTGATTCTCTATTTGCTCAAAGTTAGCGACAGCTCTGTTTGGTGATTCAGCCATTGGAGGAAGTAGGTGGGGAAAGGACTCGCCCTTGGGAGATAACAGTGCAATTTAGATCTCCTTGGCAAGTTCAGTTCAGACACCGCATCTGCCATGAGAATTCCTCGTTCCTCTGCATTACTACAGGAACATAAGTTACTCTGTATTGTTGTAGACTGGATGTCTACTACACTTCTAAGTATTTAACTTTGTTGGCTTTTCATTTGTTTATGTAGTCTTTCATAGATATGTATATGAAATGTGTGTATGTACACATACATATATATATATTTATATTATTTCACAGAATACATAGAAATTCTGAACTATGAGCATTTTCACTTGATCAGAGTAGCTACTCCCTCAAATCAAGGAGGACACTGGAACTCTTGAACTGTTCAGCAGTTGATGCATACAGAGGCATAGGTTGAAGAAAGCTCCTACTCTTTGGTTTACCCATGTATCGTTAGTGGTTCTGTTTTCTTATAGTGAGAAGTCTGCCACTAGCCCAGGCCTCTACACCCACAATAGGATAGGTGTCTTCTGTAAGAAAGCAAGGCGCTGCACTGAACGCTTACTTGACTGAATTGCACATTTGTTAATACATTTTAAAAAAGTAAATCTATATGATAACCCTTGTGAACTACATGTTCTCCTGGTTTTTCTAAGCTGATACTTTAAAAAATTGTATTCTGCCCGAGAATGCAACATTTGTCTGCAGAGAAGCAAGAGAGTGTTGGCTGATGCCAATAAGCTGTGATTAGGAAGGCTGGAAGGCTTTTTCTTAATACTGCCATCTGTTCTTCTCAGCGGATGCGGTCATCCCTGTGAGATACCCTATATTCACTTTTACAGTTGAGCTTCCTCTGTTCAGTGCCATGCTGGTTGCTCTGCATGTTTGCCACTTCACTTACCTATTTCCACTTCTGTCATCTATCAAAGTGAGTTGGTATCACTCAAGGGGGCTCAAAATACTGATTGCTCACTGTCTCTTGTGACACAGAACTGAGAACAACCAAGAGCACAGAGAAGAAATCTGTTCCTCAAATTTTCTGTGCTGGTAGACCTGCACTGGAATACTTTTCTGACCTGTTGTAGGATGGAGCATGTGGTAGTAAAGGGGGAGGAACTTCTCCTGTGGATCTCACTCTTTGGAATATCTCTCTGTCTTGGATGTGCTGTGGTGCTGAATCAAGGTGAACAGCCCGCTCTGATCTCAAGATGCAGTTGCATTAGTTTCTAAACCTAGTTGCGAGTACTTGTGATTAAGGAAGGCCTTTTTAGCACACGATGAATGCATATAGTGCTAGACAAAGTAACGACTCCATATGGGAGAGTTTCAGAGTTTACTTTGCACAGCTCAGCGAAGCAGAGGGGAACACGACACAACCATTGAGCAGGAAACCGAGTTGCTGCTGTTGGATACTGTGAGCCTCAGCATCTTTGGCACCACTCTTCAGAAGGGTGCTTTGCCTGAATGAGGGCAATGAGATTCATTCTCATGTGTGTTAAGGACAAAACGGTCTGTGCAGTCACCTATTAGCTGATGTCAAAAAGCTGGAAATAGCTTTTCTGTGTATTTGAGAGGAGGTAGCAGAGGGGCTGGATGTCCCGTGGTAATGTTTCATTCCATCAATGACTAGATACAAAATACAAGGTGGTGGGTTTTTTTAAAGTATCATGTCTGAAGTAGTTTGCAGCTAGATTTGAAAAGTTCTTTGAGCCCTTAATGTTTTCGAGTAAGTCATGGAAAACTGAGAAAGAAGGGTACCTTTGCACCTCGATAAAATAACAAGGTTCTGTTTTCAGTTTACAGATCAAGCATAGCTTTTTTTAAATAAAAATCTCATTAGTATTTTCTGTCATTCTGCTTTTTTGAACAATGACTTGTTAGACAGTATGCCTTGATGACACCACTTTGCTGAGAAGGATTGTTAAGGTAGTGCCGATGTGATAAAGCTCTGAAGGTGTTTGACTTGCTATCAATGTTGTTATTAAGAAGCTAGAATGGTACAAAACCCAATACGGTAAATGTATTAAAACCTAGATCACAGTACACTTAATTTTAAGAGCCAGCCAGCAGATAATGATCCTAGTTCAGTGAGGTACAATGTGATCAGTTGAGGTGGTACGGGTGTTAGCTTTTGCATTACCCCAGGAAAAGAAGAAAAAAATATTAACAGAAGTAACAGAGATTTAAAGAAACAATGTATTGGCATAAATACAAAAAAAACCTGGGTTATTTGACAAGTTGAGCAAGAGTGTCCTTTAACATTGCAAAATGTAAAGGCTCAGATCTGGAAACACAAAGGTGCAGAATTTGGTCCAACTGAGGCTTTGCATGTGGTTTAGATGTTGTCTAAGCTTGAAATGTAACCAGTGGGGCTGATTGATCTGCTACCTTCATCCCCAGCTTACTGGCTGGTTGCTTGAATGGCTCCGTGAGGTCTCATGACTCAAAACCAACCAACCTTGGTTGACTGCAATGGGAGCTTCAGTTGTGGTCATCGAAATGTAAGTGGCTTTTATCTGCGAAGGGAATGTCACTCCAGAAAGACCTTGATAGTCACAGGCAGTGGTGAGCAGGACAATGAGATCCCTGTGCGGTTTGTCTGCGAGGGCTAACACAGGCCATTGATGTGGCAACAATGGGGTATTTCTGCTGGAGTACATCTGGAATATTGTGTTGCACAGCGAGTTAATAGGGGAGCTTAGTGAAGAACAATAAGAAAGATTAAAAGATGTAATATTTTCTTCATAGGAAAAGCTTCACTTGGTACACTGAGGAATGGAATTTGATAATAGACTCTTCACACTAGCAGACAGTGATAGGATAACTGTTCCATAACAGCACGTCACATCATGGTCAGCAATAAAGAGGGGAAAAACGGGGAGTTAGTGAAGTTAGCCGCCTTCTGCTCAGGACCTGGCTGGGCTTAGGTATACCTGGGGGAGGTGATTGCTTTTGCATTGCTTGTTTTGTTTGTTTTCTGTCTTCTCCTACTTCTCCTTTGCTTGCTGAACAATTTTATCCTGACCCACAAGATTTCTTGCCTTTCCTCTTCACCTTCCAGAAATGAGCCAGTGAGTGGCTTTGTGGTGCTTAGCTGCCTGCTGAGATTAACCCACAACAGTGTTTTATATGTGTATACATATAAATGTGTATGGATGCATATACTTATAAATAAATACATACATAAAATGTCTTTTATATTTAGGATACTCCTAAAATGAAATAAAAACCTTCATGCTTTGCTGAGTAGGTTAAACATTGTACACAAATGGGAGATAATTTGAAAGTGTTTTAGAACAGTGTGATAAGTCTTACCCACTTGTCAATTTACAGCAGCTGAAATGCTTGTTGTCTTACTGCACTGCTGATCAGTCTTACCTTCGATAGACTGATTGTGCAAGTGAAAATAATTTGACTGGAAAATAAATGCTTTCAACATGAAAAAGGGCATAAGGGAGCTTGCTAACTACTAACCTGAATAGATTAGCTGTAGAGAATTTTCTCTAGCTTATTATATGATTACATGTGAAACAAAGTGTTTAGTTGGAAAAAATTGAGGTTGGATATACAAAATATAATATATTGTGAATTGAGAAGAATTTAATCTGTATGTAATTTTGAAAGTGCTCTCTATATGATATCCAAAAATTTGTAATATTGTCATACATTATTTTCAAATATCAATACAGATTTTTGGACCTTACAGTTTAAGTATTGTGTGTATCAGCTTTACAGCCATTAATGAAAGTATTTTCTTTTAATCAGGATGAAAATAATACAGAGAATGCTGTCAGTTCTTCAGAAGCAGAGAAACAAGATTCTCCTCCACCAAAGCCTCCACGGACCCGCAGGTAGTCAATTGTGATAATGTATTATTTTAAGCTGACAGTTTGATATGCTTCACAAATAAAAATTAGAATAAAATTACTGATATTTTAGTCTTTTAAGATGCATTTTTTTCTATTCATAGATAGAAATATACGTCATATGAATAGAAGTCTTGTATTTGGTTCCACAAAGATATTAAAACATATTTATGAAGTCTGTGTTTGACTATACCAATCTTGCAGTGACTACATGTGAGTAGGCAAGAATACCGCTTTAACAGTCAGATATATTAGATCTACTTGTGCTTTAATTCTGCTAGGTGATAGTAGCAAAACATACTTAAAAATAAGCTCTAATAATGACTGAATTCTCACTTTCGAAAGCAAAAACATAATGAAAATTACCCATTTATTCCAGAAAACATTACCTCACAGGCAAGTACTCCTATTTACTAGAATATGCCAACAAAGAAGTTTTCTTACTGAGAAGAAATTGGTCTCACCAATCCTTTCATTCAACAGAGGGAAAAGGAAAATCTTCTGTAGCTCTTAAAATACATAAACTTGACTTTAAGGAAGACAAAAGTAAATCTGAACTAATGGTTTTCATCTCCTCAAACTGGGTACCCAACTGAGTGGGCAGCTGGCAACTAAAGCAGTAGCTCTCCTGAAGGAAGCACCTGAGCTCCCTAGCTAGCTAGGTTCTGGAAGGCTGGTGGGGACCTTTGGCAGGTGGCTTTCCTGTGCTACATTGCCTGTGGTGAAATAGACATTTAAGGTAAGCACTTGGGTTTCCTAAAGTTGTAGAATAATGCAAGAAACCACCAGCCAGTTAATGTTTTTGTATAACATTTAGTCAAACAAGGAAAATGGTTTTACTGCTTTAAAATATAATGGAACCTGTAGTAGTGCAAGGTCAGGTCCTTAGTGGGAATTTCTATTCATTTGATAAGTTAATGGCTAAATGTAGAAGATGAGAACTAACCCTTTCTCTACAGTACTGCATTTGGCAGGGTACAAATGATGTGGTAAAGTGAGCCCATTTTTGAGGGGCTATCAAGATGAAAGCAGTGGTTATGCAATAAAATGAATGTTAAATCCTAAAATATAAGTTTGGTAAAGGAAGACATTTAAATCTGTACATTTACATATAGAAAATGTAATTGGAAGTCATTTGAGAACTGGTGACTCAGACTGGGTAGATGTTTGTGTATACTCAATATTGCAGCATCGTCTTGTCACAGGAACAAGCATAGTTTAAAACTGGATATGGAAGTGCTGCACTTTGCTATCAACTAGTAATTTGGACTAGATCTGGAATACTGCATGCGATTCTGATGCCCATTCTAATGAGTATATTGGAGAACTACAATAAATGGACCTATTGCTCTACTTTTTTGTGGCCCCAGGGATTTGCAATAAGATAAGAACTCTGGAAATTAATGCATGATAACAGTGATTAATGATACAATAGGACAAGAATATGAATAGCTCTTATAGTTAACTTAGTGTTAGTTATGTCAAGCAGAAGTTAGAGGAGAATGTGGCACTGAAAGACAGAGATAGAAATGAGTTGGAGCTTTTCACGAACAAATGGCACGGTTTGTGCTATGAAGGTAATATCATTTACCTTATTTAGGTTGATGGTGTTGTGATTGTATTCAATTATGTAGATTGAGGTGATGACAAAGGAGTCTGCTAACCTGTGTTCATGATGAGGTGCAAGCTCTTCTTGAAATGTAGTCACTGAACTTAGATATGATTTCTGTCTGATAGGTAACTTCCTGTTTCTGTTCCTTGAAATAATCTCGGGTGTACCTAGGTTTTTATCATTTTTATATATTCATATAATAATCATATAAGCATAATTCATGTTTCAGCATACATCTGTTCTGTCTTATTTGCACTGTGTTGTTCTTTACTTGCTACATTATTAAGTTAAAATCTTTTAAACTCTTTTATAAAACTTGGTCCTTTTTGGGCCTGTGTCCATAAACACATACTTTCCCATCTGCCAGCACTCGCAGGAAGATTGGTTCCTTAGAGGTGAATAAATGGAAGCTTTTAGCAAAGCTGTTGTGTTTTTCAAATGGAGATTATTTTTTAAAAGCAATTAATTACACCCCTCATGGAATATGCTTCTGAGGAAAGATTTGCTTTGCTGTTAGTCACATCTGCTCAGAATACCCACTAATGAGCCTGTTCTTTCTTGATGTGGGAGGTAATTTTACAAATCGACAGCCTGATTCAGGCAGGACTTGGAGCCAGGTTTTGTGTATTGGGGATGTTCTGGCATAGGCTGGCATCCTTTTTGCTGGGGAGGGTGGGAGAGGAGAACTTGTGAAAGAATCTAATTTAATCCTCGTATGGAGAAGCAAGCTGTTAAACACAGTACATCTCCCTATTGCATCTCTAGCTGTTTGCCGCAAACCATTCTCTTGCCACATATTTTCATGTCCCTTCTAGTGTTTTTCTCTACATTACTGTGACTAAAAATATCTTGGTACAACTATTTTAAGTATTTGTCAACTTGTTTTCTTCAGTGAATGTTTTCAAGTGGTGTGTAAGAGTCATTGCTTCTACAGGTAAGTTCATAATCAATAGTTACACTGAAATAAAGTAGTTTAACCCACATTTCTAGTTTAATTTAGAATTTTTTCTGGGAACTTGCTTAAAATATTCTGTTCAGTAACATTTTTAGGTTGACAGCCAAATATGTACTTGAGTTGTACGTGTACTGTCTCTGAGGAAGCTACAAGCCAGTTGCTAAAGCTAGTGTTTTTAAAAACGAGTAAGGAGTTTAATTTCTTTATATGCTGTGTTGTAGTTGGCTCTGGAAAATGTTATTAGCAAAGCAACTTGCATTATTTTTTAAGGGAAGGTTTAACAGTTGCTAATACTACTTCAGTTGCTGTGTGCCAGCTTGATTTGAGGTGAACCTGCCTGAGGTGATTGTCCTGTCCTGCCTCAGAGGCAGGAGGAGGGCAACTGAAGTTTTGCAAATCCCCTTGGGCTCAGTTAAAGTGAAACACCACCAAATGTTCAATTAACCATTTTATTTATAATGTAAATAACTTGAACCTGGAAAGGGTAAACAAGTTGAACTTGGAAAATATAAAAGTGTTGGCAGTGTGGGTTCTTACTGAAAAACGTTTATAAAAAGGAGAAAAAGAGAAGAGAGATGGGAAAGGAAGGAGATAAAATTATCACCACCCTTGGATCCTGTGATGATCCCTTGATGACAGTGATGGAAGTGGTAATCCTGTTTATGGGCACGCACATGGCTTCTTGAGTCTGTGCCCTTTATATAGTCTAGTCCTCAGCATAACTCCTAGTCTACGGTGCAGGGACCATTGTGAGAGCGGTGGTTGTGAGGGGTCTTTTGGGTGGTCATGAGCCCCTTCCCCAGATGAACTCTGTATGACCCTTGGCTGTATATGGTGAGCTGTCTTGCTCAGCAATAAAGAACTGCATATCCTCTAACAGGCTGCCTGCTTCCCACCTTCTGTTTCCTGAGCTCTCTAGCTAAGCAGAGCTTGCAGGACCTGTCTTCTGCTATGCAGTGCTTGCAGAACCTGTCTTGCCACAATGTTTAAGACATACATTAACTCTTTGTCTCTCGCAATGATCCTGACTGAGCAGGAGGAAAATTGGTTTGCATCTCTTGTCCTCAGGGTGGTTCTTTTCCCATATTGCTATCAGACCAAGCTATGTTTGCTTAGATGACAGTGATTGATTCCTGTTAGTTGCTTTCTGACAACCCTGAGGCTGTTTGCTGCTAGAGATGGTGACATCTCCTCTATGGCACTTCTCAGTGGCTAACCACTCTGTACACTGTAGTGTTGTTCCGTAAAGGTGGCGTTCTCCCCTGTCTCTTCTCTTGTTTGTGACAGAATCATAGGACTCTAACTTTAAATTTGTGGATGTCTTCCTCTTAAAAGTGTAGCTAGTAGTACCAAGTCAACTAATTTCTGTAGTAAGTAAGGAAGAGATACCACTAAGACTTTTGCCGGGTAAGATTGGAAGCTTACTTGGGGAGGGATGATGAATCCTTTTAGTACTTGCATTGGCATGAGGAAGGAGTCCTATAAAGTGTAACTTCTAATTGTACTTTTCTAGCCTGCTTTTATGTCTGATCCTTTTTGGAAGTTACAGATATCTTTAGGCATTGATATTAAATAAGTATTAAATTAGAATTTTGTTTACTCTTACTAACTGACCATGAAGCATCCAGCTGTACTTGTTTTGCAGAGGTTCTGGAATTGTATTGCCTTCCAACCTTTTACCACTTTACATTTGCTGTACAGTATGTGAACGTAGTCATTTTAGGATACCATGTATTTGCATTGGATGTCGGCATAAAGAAAATAAAATATTGTTACTCACTGATTATTATGAAGGTAAACAAGAAGAACTCCTGAGTGTGTCCATCAGCACCTTATTCTGGAAATTGCTTGGCTTTGCAGTTTATGATCACTTCTTGTGAAAGTCACCTTGAACTGAACTTACATCTGTGTTAAATTTCTTTGGAGAACTTGGTGGGGTAGGAAGCATTCTTTGTTAGACATGTTTAACTGTTTTCACGTTAAGGCAGGAAGAAGGCATAAGTAGGTTTTGAGTTTATTACTAGATTTAAGATTGTAAATAACCAAAGATCTGCATTTGCAATTTAGGACTGTACGTGATTTTACATGATGCAAAATTGGAGCTTATGATTCAAATCTAGAAGTGATGATTGGTACTTCAGAATTCATTTTAATACCTTTAATGAGTAGTCCTAGAAATATTTGTGTCTTTAGTAGTTAATTCTAAAATATTTGGGAAAAGGGGTTGTTGCAGATTTGGTTACAGAAAATTCTTTCTTCTCAAATGCATTTTGAAAGAAACAGAGAAACTGAGGCATACACTGACAAAAATAAAAGATGAGGTAAGAACTTTAGTATGCAGTGTAGTGAGCTGTGTGCTACTGTCTGAGAAGATAAGGTAAAATACTGTAGCAGTTTAACTTTTCTTCAAATTTCATTACTTCAATCTGATGACATTAAAATACATGTCGAGGGTTATAGATAATTCTGTTTTATTTCAAGCCCTGCAGAATCCTCTCTTTGCATATTCTGCAAAGCTCAGATAAAAGCCGTTGATTGGTGTTCATTGTTGGTTATCAGTTTCTGATTTGTGTATCACAAAGAAAAAAGCGTCATGTAGTTAATTTTTATAAGAAAAATCCACTAATTGATTTCTTTTATTCATTCCTTCTACTTTTATATAAATTATCTGTAGTATAGCTTGTGACAGCTTCACTGAACTGCAGCTTTTCTTCCACGTGGGTGGCAGTGATTTAATGCTTAAGCAGAATAATGTGGTTGTGGAGCTTCTGCCTGCTTATGTTCAGTTGAATTTTCCTATTTTAATTATGAGGGAGGATGTAGAGCTTGGTATCTATTTTTGGTTGATCATAGCAGCTGCATTCTATGACCTTGGCATCACTCTCTTGTTTGATAATAAACCCCTATGTATGCTGAGTTGAATAACCATGGATTACTTAAATTGTTTTTTTTTCCTTTTGAACACTGGCCAAGTTTCATTTAAACCTGAACCCATGGTGCCCTGTTTCCATAATATAGCTCTTTTCCATTAAGGCTGCAATGGCTTAGCTTTTAAAACATGCTAAAAATTTAGAATATACTGGAGAAAAAGGCATTGCTTCGCTTTGGTTTTGGGTTTTTTTTCCCTATGGACAGTTTTGGTGGAAAGTTTTGGTGGGCTTGTTTTTTTTTTTTTAGAAATTATTGTACTTTTGACAAATTACTTTTTATTATGACAAATTTATTTTTAAAAATACTGCCTAATGCATGGTGTGTGCATACTGGTGTGTATGAGGAAGTGCAGAGGCAGAGGAATTACAAGGTAATCAGTAGCAGTTGTGTTGAAGAGACACTGCCAAGGTTGAGTTATGAGAAGGCTTTCTGTTTTTTTATCCCACAATGTGATTTCACAAATGTACTTGAGAAATGTTTGCTTTTGCAATATGTAAAAGCAATGCAGGGTTAATTTAAAGATCTGACTCAGGAAGGCTTACTTTTCTTTCTCAGTGGTCTGGCATTCTTTGGTTCGCTGACTTTTCTGTCTCAGTATCCTCTTTCATGAGCTTTCTATGAGTTTCCTGGTAAATTCTATCAAGCTGTTTTTATTGTAGTGTCTCCTGTTGTTTGGAATAATATTAGTAGTTCATCTTCAGATAATTTTCTGCCTCTGGGGGGAGAAGTGTCTATAGAGCACAGCTGTTGAAGGATGTGCCCAAGGAAAGCATTATGCAGCAGCCCAAAATGCCCGGGTTTTTCTGGCAAGAGCTTTAGAAAAAGCTACTGCCAAACAAAGAGCTCTTAAAGGTATTACAAATCCTAATATTTCTGCTTCGTAAGAGGAAACAAAAATATTATTTGCAATGCAGAACATGTGAAATAATACTACTGCTATGTCAGTAAAATAGAAAAAATGTTACATATTTAGAAAAAATGAGGAAATCCTGGGTGGCATCATTTCCATTAAAAAAGAGAATTACATTGGAATACTGTTTGGGCATCTCATTTTCTGAGATTGGATATTCTTCAATATTAATAAGACAAAATTATTTTAATAGAGAATTTCTCACTTTATCATTGCAAACTCTCATTTAAGAGTGAAAGAATGCAATGTAACTTCAGTTATAATGGGGAACACTTTAATAGCTTTGTTTAGCTGTGTACAAGGAAGATGATTGAACAGGACATGACTCTTGTGGTGCTGACTGGTGCAGTCTTTCCTGTCTCCTCATTTCTACACATACCTCTGAGGGGGCTGTTTGTGTGCATGTGGGGTTCTGTTTACTAGTGAAGCAAATGGGGCAGTGATTTCATTAAACAGTAATCAGTGAAGAATTTAATGAATTTTCACTGGTATTATGCGCCTCTTTTCATATGGGGTTTAATGCTAGTTTGCTTCTTTAGCTAATTGTAATGCTTAATGGTTTGTCTGTACCAGATAAGAAATTAGTTTTGCTGATTGCATGTGTAACTCCAGGTCAGGAAAATAAGGTCAGTAAGGGAAAAACCTGGTTTTTCAGTAGGAGGATTTAGTGGGACTTACTGATGACCATCACTGCTGGCAAAAGGGGCACGTCACCATGTATGCAAGTGAACTCCCTCTGTCCCATGTCCCCCCCCACCCTTTCCTGAATAAAGGAGAGAAATCCAAAGGAAATTTTCTTGTCCTCCTTAGTGTGTATTAAGTTGGAGCAAGACTTACCTTTTTTTTATTGCCTTATCTTTCCTAATTCAAGCAGACAACTTATTCTCAGCTTGTCCATTTTTCAAGAATGTCTAGAGGCAAAACAGTTCCCAAATTACTTTTGATTAAGTTGTTTTGATGTGGTTTGGATTCCTCCTAGCTTAATGTAAAGCTAAATAGCAATATAGAAGCACAGTTTGGGGAGGAAGAAAAGGTTGAGGCCCAACCCTATGTGACAGGGCAGGCAGGCACGTAATGGAAGAGGGCACCTGGGAGAACTGGGGAGGATCCATGGGAAGGATTCACGTCAGAGAAGTTTGGAGGACTGTCTCCTGTGGGAGAGACCCCACAGTGGAGCAGGGGAGGACCGTGAGGAGTCCTCCCCTGAGGAGGAAGGAGCAACAGAAACAACATGTCATGAACTGACCACAACCCCCATTCCCCATCCCCCTGAGCTGCTGCAGGGAAGGAAGTAGAGCAATCAAGAAACAAGTTGAGCCCAGGAAGAGAAGGGACTGGTGGGGGGAAGGCGTTTTTAAAATTTGGGTTTATTTCTCATCATCCAACACTGATTTAATTGGTAGTAAATTAAATCTTTTTTTTTTTCTCCAAGTCGAGTCTGTTTTGCTTGTGACCATAGCTGGTGAGTGATCCCTCCCTGTCCTTGTTATGACCCACAAGACTTTTGTTATGTTTTCCAAGTCTCCATCCCACTGTGGGGAAGAGTGAGGGAGTGGCAGCATGGTGCTCAGCTGCTGGCTGGGCCTAAACCAAGACAGTCATTTATGGTGCCTCTGACATAGATTATCCCCAAGAAAATAAAAGTATACAAGGATTTAGCTAAGTCCTGCTTGCTAAAGGTTATTTGGGTGCTGAGACTACTGGAACTTGTCAGTGAAGACTCAGTGACCCTGGGAACTGTCTTTTTCCCTAACGTGATGGGATGGGAGCGTCTGTCTTCTAAATATGACTATCTTGGACATGATGTGCTGGCCTGCATAGAAGGTTTCTTAATTCCTTGTGGAGGACATCTCTGCCAATAGCAGGAAGTGATCTGAGCTTTGTATATAAAATGGGCTGGTTTCTCAGCTCAAGTATGTGTCCAAATTGCACTCCTTTGCAAATGGTCATCCATTGTGCTTTGATTTATCTGCCTGGATTGGAAGTACTATGTTCTTTAAATTAATTGTGTTTCTGTTGCTGTCATGTATTTGTTTTGTACCTCAGTTATTACTCTGTTACTAGTATTACATAAAGAAATGAAATATTTGTAAAGCATGGAAATGCGTAACTCCTGTTTGCAGACAAGACCTTAGTCAACTGTGCAAAATGTTTGTAGTCAAATATTCTGCATCTCATGTGAAAGTAAATTGACCATATGCTTCAAGAGCTGCTCCTTTTAAGAAGCTTAAGATGACCTGTAATAGTAAGTGCTCTGGTCTCACTAATATGCACTGTAATTTGGATCATATATTCTACTGTAAATGGTTTTTCATATGGTGTGCACCTCATGTCAGCTAAATTTGGTCTGCATCATCAGCCTTACGACTCTGGAGAAACTATTAAATACACAAATATAAAAATAAAATCCTCCTGGACACATGCAGAAGAATAGCAATAAAGGAAGGTATTTGGTATTAAGCAGGCTGTAAGGCTTTTTTTAAAGAAATTTATCTTGGCTTTATTGAAAATTGAATTCCTTACATCGAGCTCCTCTGAGCCACTTCTTGAGAAAGCAGAAGGCAAAAAGCAAAAAAGTACTGAAATGCTGCCACAAGAGGGCCTTTCTTACAGAGCCTTTGGAAAAGTGCTTCTGGGAAAGAATGTGGGCAATCTTTGAACTATCAGTGAGGATTATTTGTGGCCTGAATGCATGCCTTTGTGATCTTCTGAAAGATGTTTTGAGTGTGTTGACTTAGTGCTTGCGTACCCCATTAAGTCGTATTTTATAACCATTGTATGCAGTGGACACGCTGCTTGGAGTTCTGTATTGGTATGAAAGCATTACTACTGCAGAGATAGATGGACAGATATCTAAAATATTGTCAAAATGCAAAAAGCTTACGCAATTCTGTTTTGTTGGGGTTTTTTTGCAGTTGCCTTGTAGAAGGAGATGCTAAGGAAGAAATCTTGCAGCCTCCGGAGCCTCAGCCAGTACCACCAATCTTAACCCCATCTCCCCCCTCAGCTTATCCAACAGTCACTACCGTGTGGCAGGACAATGACAGATACCATCCAAAGCCAGTTTTGCACATGGTTTCATCGGAGCATTCAACAGACCTCAATGAGAATTACAATAAATCAACAGAACATTCAGGGAAGAATGAACCCAGTGAACGCGCAGAGAAAAGGCTGGAGCGCAACTTAAGTTTTGAGATCAAGAAGGTACCCCTTCAGGAGGGACCTCGCAGCTTTGATGGGAACTCCCTGTTGAACAGGGGACATGCAATTAAAATTAAGCCTGTGTCATCCTGTGCAACTGATAAGAGCTTTAAGCCACAGGAACAGCTTTCAGGGGATTCATTTGTAGATGCTTCTCAAAACTCATGTGTGGAATGCAGCGCGCCACAGTCTAACACAGCCTTAATACCCTCACCAGAAAGTCTCCAGAGTCCGCAGGTTTCTGATGCTCCACCAAGACCAGACCGTCTGCCTCTGACAGAAAAGGGACATGCCACGTGGTCACTGCACGGGCCTGAAAATGCACTGCGTACGTCGGCGTCTGAAGACATATCTTCAGACATCTTGTGTCATGGCGTTAAAACTCTCTCTCTGGTATCAAACCCCATGGTTGAACGTACTTCCAGTGATAATGCTGATCATACAGCTATTCCTCTGCGAGCACCCCTCTGTTTTACTAATCCTCTTCATTCAGATGATTCTGACACAGACGAGATGAGCTTTGATGGAGCCATGAGCAGAAGCGCATCTAATGTTTCAACCGCAAGTGCCACAGTTTCTGCTGCCACTAATACTGAAAACGTTTCTGCCAGGAAAGTGTTGCCAATGTCTATTGCTAGGCAAGACTTAACAGCCGTAACACGTTCTGAAGATAGCAAAGGTAGGTTTTATTGTCATTCAGAAATGCTACTCTTTTTAACTTGGTTGCATCTGTAGAGTTGGACAACATAGATTTCTTTACAATGCAGTTTTCCATATGTAAATGTAAACAGTGCACTGTGGCAGCTTCAGAAAGGATGCAACTCTCTTCCTCACAGTTTCTGGTTTGCGTGTGAGCTACGTCTGTTACAGGGTGCTACGCACCTTGATAAGCTGCTTCAGAAGCTTTATTGTGAGGTATGAATGCATTCTTAATTGCAGATTTCTGTGTTGCTGGTTGGTGCATTTTTTTCCTCCATGTCTCATTTCATGGAAGTGTCTATAATAATGGCAGTTTTGGGTAGCTGAAGTATTTTGAACAGGCTTGTCCAAATGAACATCAAATTTGTGCTTACTGGTTGACGCACTGGTCCTAAAAATGCAGATGTAACCTTTCACTGTATCAGTCTTCGAAGTTGCTCATGGCTTCTGCATGTTAACAGCATTGTAAATATTTAGCCCTGCTTTCCTCTTTTTCTGTACATGGCTGTTCAACTGAAAGTCTAAGTTCTGCTTTAGCAATGCCTATAAAATTATTCAGTTGCTTTTGATCGTTTACTGCTTTTTGGAATTTTGCGAGCAGGGAAATTTTTCAAGACTGCTTCTGCAAAAAGTTACAACATCGTATTGAAGGCAAAAGGATCCTAAAATGTGCAGATTCAGATTTCCGTCAGGCTGGCATGCTTAAGTCGGATGTCGCTGGGCATAATACGTTAGGCCTTGGTAACTGCCTGTCTAGGTCCAACACAGCACATGGTAGGGCTGTGGAGCTGAGAGGACAATGTGAGCTGCTGAATTTAGGTCAGACTCTCGTGCCAGGGGCACTGACAGCGATGGTCTCACTTCAGGAGTCTGTGCAGATTACGTGGCTTCCTGAGGCGCAATGGGGCTGAGTGTGTGATGCACAGTGCAGAGCCAGCTGTATTGAAAATACTTGCGGTGTGAACTGAGTTTTCACCAGAAGTCGTGTATCCAGAAGCGTGAATTGTTTTGCAGCTTTTAAAAATGTTTCTATAGATTTTGTGATTTTATGTATACACACAAAACAATACTTGCACATGTGTATGTTTTTAACCCTGCAACACTTTAAAAATGCTCTGCATAGCAAAGATAAATCGCCCTGTCACGGTTACTGCAGTGTTTATACCAAGCAGCCTTCCTTGCATTTGTCTGTGGTAGATTTGCATGCTATAGTATTTTTCCAACGCTGCTTTTAGTCAGGCTTTTTTCCTTCTTTCCCAGGGCAATCATTGTTAATCACTGTTTGAAAATCGTTACCTCTCTGCACATCTCTTCATGCGGATGCTGTAAGAATATGCAAATAAAAGAAGTGATATGTTGTAAATACGATAAAAAATGGAAGAAATGTCACTTAATAATTTGTTTCATGTAACTGCATATCAGAAACATCCTGAAATAACAGTACAATTGGTATGCTGCTGATTTCACAGGGGTGGCTTACAATTTTCATATTGTTGATAATTTCTCTTGCTGCCAAGGTTGTATGTATTCCCTTTTATACAATAGTGAACACTTCCCATTTTACAGTCAGGTTGCAGGTCTTGTAATCCATCTCAGACACAAGAATATGGGGTTTTGGTTTGCTTTGCAGCAGCGATTCTAAACCATGTTTTATGGGGGCTTTTTCAGGCTCCTTTGTCTGAGGCTGGGGTTGTGGGTAAAATCATCCATGAAGCTTGCCTGTGAGATTAGCAGCACCGCAGTTGCCTGATCTTACCGCATAATTAAATCCTTTTTAATTCAAATGAAGTGAAAAGTAGTTGTACCCTGAGGTTAAAAAAAACAACAAAACCCCAAAACAGCAACAAACATAGCAACAGAAACAACAAAACCAAAAAGCCCAAACCAAAACCAAACCTGAAAAACTCGCCCTCAGTTAGTGTATGCTCCATGGTGATTTTATTTGCTGATTTTATGGAGACTATTTAAATAAAGGGTCTTCTTATACAGTGTAGTAAACCTGAGATGGAGTAGGTCTCAAGTGACTTTGAACACAGTGGCTTGTCAAACATGACAGTTCCTGTCCCTGCTGCAGGGTTGTTGGCAGGGCAACCTTCATGGCTTTGTTAGCTGAGACGTGTCTTCATCTTTTTATGAATCCTGTGTGGAATACAGTTGTCAGATGACACTTCTTATGGCAGCAGTTACTTTGAATTGTTTAAACCCTTTAATTTCTACTCCAAATACCTTAGCAGGCCGGAGAGGAGCTTTTCCTGCCAGAACAGCTTGTGTTGGTACACTCCTGGGAGGCAAGAGGTACCAGGCTGGGGACAGGATGCACTACTGGCACCAGCAGTAGCCATCTCCACCAGCTCATGTTTGCCTTTCTAGCTCAGAAACCTCGCCACTAGACTGTAACTCCATGTCAGCAGTGTGGGACCAGCCTGGGCTTGGGAAGCAGAACTGAGCCTTGGGGCTTTAGAGAAGTGGTTGTTGTGGAGCTTTCCTAGAACTTACACATGGCACAGCGCAGTCCTGAAAAGCAGCCTTCTTTAGCGTCCTTGCACTGTGCAGTCCAGGTGGGCTGTGTTGACTTAAGAAGTCAGTATGGCTAGAGCCACTTCAAAAAAAATCAGAACTGCTGCTCATCAGCAGTACGTTACTACGTTCAGCACAGCGGAAGAGCTTGTATATTTTCAACACACTTCTTACCGTGGTTTGGGAGCTTCATTGGTGTCTCAGTTGGTAGGCACCAACTGTGTGTAGTTACCAGTGTGTGCAGAAGCGTGCAGGGAGCCAGTGCTGCAAGAAGCTTAACTCTCACTTGCAGTGGCTACAAATAGACCTGTAATGAACTGCAATTAAATTACTGTCACTACCAAGGTTACACTTATTGGCAAGTTACTTCTTCAAGAAGCAGATGGTACTGCTGCAGTGCGGGCTGATAACTGCTTATCTTCTGTTTCTGAAAGAATGAAGAGGTTGCTGAGGTTTTTTTCCTTCCCAATTGTTTAGAAGGAAAATGTATTTTACATTTTTTTAATCTCCCATAATACACAAGCTGATCCTACTCTTTTAATGTGAGGATAGTGTTCTTAGCATGAAATTGCTCCCAAGGCATTAGTACGGTAAACCAAAATGTTTTATATTTAGAGCAAATTTTCCTTTTGCTTTAAATTTACTGCCAAGTTTAGGATGATCTCACATATCGAAAGATCAACTTCTAAAAATTTAGGAGGAAAATGTGTGTTTTTTAACTTCTCTAAATGTCGTATTTATTTAGATGCTGATACTAGTGAAGATTCCTCTCCCCCGCTCCCAGAACGAACACCAGAATCGTTTGTATTAGCAAGTGAACAGAGTGAGTTCTTAATGTTTTATGGTATTTGGGGATAAAATGGGAAATGCATTTCGGTATTGTATTTGAATGCTCCTGCTTGCTGGTTAATCTTAAACTGTTAGAGCAAATTGTAAAATGGAATGAAATCTAGCATGTGTAATGACTTATTTTGGGATTTCACTTTCACAAGCCCTTGAACACAGTCAAATTGTTTCTCATTTTCTCTGTATGCTGCTACATGATATTTAAGTATATTGGGGACTTCAATGTTGATTTCAGTGGAGCTGGTTTTCAATCCGACGGGTATGAAAATGAAATACAGGGGGGAAATGCAATACAGGGAGGGCATTCCCCAGCTATTTCGGTTTCCTACTGCTCCCAGGTAGGGAAAGGGAAAACAGATGGACAGCACTTACCTGATGCTCTGTTCTTGGGCAAAGGAAAAGTGATGACATTTATGCTGCACTGCATCTAGTGATCAAGCTCAGTATATTTCAGTTTAATATAGTCCACTCTTTGCCTGTATCAAAAAGGTAACTTAGAGAACTGACACTTACACGTGATGTGCTTGTATCTTCATATTTCATTCATCAAGCCAGTAATGGCAGAACACAAAAAAGAGTAACTGAAATGTAAGAGATAAATTAGGTTGATGCTTGGTATCTTCGAAAAAACTTAGTGTGATATAGTTATTTACTGAAGCTTTTGTTTAGTGTCACTTTGGGAAACTTTCAAAAATTTTTGGCCACAGTAGTATAGATATTTTCAGCATAAAAACATTCAAGTTGGGTAAATATGTCCTTTGAGCATTATTAAGCACGAGTAGTTCAGAGTCAAAGTGATCCTTTCTTTGGATATCATGAACTTGCTTCTTTTCTGTGACAGCACAAGAAACAGAGCTTTTTTTTTCTTTAAAAAAGTAAAGAAGAAAACAAAAAAGATCTCTTTGGGACTGGAATCACTGAAACCACTTCAATTTTGATGGTGTTTTTACCTGATGCCAGTAAAGGATGGTTATGGCTGTCCTGACTTGTGTGTTTTCTTTACTTAGTATGTCTTCTTCAGATCTAGTATTATTGCACAGCTGGTATAACAATTTTCAAAACATTATTGAAAAAAGGCTTATTCTCCTATTGGTTAGGAACTCTCAAATGAAGGAAGTGAACATCCACAATGCAAACACTGCAGTCTTGTGTTTTGAATTATGTTGTGGAGCCTTATCTTGAAAGCTTTGTATATAAAGAGATTCATGTTTTTACAAGCATTTAATTTTAAAACAGTTGTTTTATAGAGTATTCTAATGCTGTACTCTAATGCTGCATCACAGAGAACTTGTGTGTTGAGTTTGATTTAATTTTTCCTAGGCACACCCTCGCCCAAGCCGGTGCCGATTGCTCAGTCTGAGTGGAGCATATTGTGTGATCAGCATCTCCCTGAGCAGACAGCCTCTGCAGTAAGTACAGGACACAAGTCTGTACTGATCAGTCACTTGCACTTTGGTTGGGAGCTGCAACAAAAAGCAAGATATGTATTTGTGAGAAGTTAGAGCTGTTGATCACCTGCAACTTGCCGGTTTTTCCTGTGCCTGAGCTGCTGATAAAATGCATTAAGAGCATGATTCCTTTCCAAGAAAACTCTCCAGTTTTCCAAGTTCAGCAATACTTTTAAAAGTCATCCTTAATATACCTTAAATTGTGGCCTTAAGAGTGTAAATATGCTGGTTTTATGTAGCTTGCTGACTGCCATTAATTGATCATAGGCCAATTCAAGCTGGAGCAGAACTGCAGTCTCCAGCCTAACCTGCTGCATGAAGCAGGGACTTAGTCCAGGCTGCTCAGGGCTCTGTCCAGATGAGTCTTTAAAATCTCCAGAGATGGAGACTTCTTAGCCTCTGGGCCACCTGTTTCAATGCCCGAAGTTTTTCCTTCTATCCATATTTATATCTATATTTATTTAAACAAACCCTTTTTTGTGCCCATCAGATTTCACTTTTCACATCATTACACCAGTTGCTCCAAGTTATCCAGTGTAAACAGCTGGCAGACTCCCAGAGCATACAAATCCTCTTCACACTTGTACCTTTTTTCATGCACCCCCAATACTTTACAGCCACCTTTACATACCACTTAATACTTGACAAAAAAGGTAGATGTGAATTTTCCAGGACAGTAAATTAAGTCTGGCAACTAAACTACCTGATTTTGCAAATAACTTGTAATGTGACAATTTTACCTTTTTATTAGATAGTAAGTGAAGTTCAGATAGTAAATTCTTTATTATCTACTGTAGCATTTTTGTGAGTGTTACAGCAAGTCAGAAATGTAGGAATAAGTAGATATTTCCATGGATGTTGTGTATTTTTTGAAGATGTTTTCATAATCTTAAATTTCTGGTTTTCTTATAGTATTTTGGAAGCATTTTATATAATTATTTTAAATATTTCTCATTAACAGGGTTTGAAAACAACTTCACCTGTACTACCTGGTAAGTGATGGAAATTTTTTTTTTTTTCAATACAAAAAGGTTTTTTCCCCATAAGAGTGGAAAGTTAAGTAACCCAAGCATTTGAACTAATAAGGTGGTTTGGGAGCAGTTTTACTAGAAGATTAGAAACTACCAGGAGAATTTTTTTCTCCTGGAAATTCACAAGTATTTTGTGATCTAACCTTGAAATAAATGTATACATAAGCTACTTCCAACCCATGATGCTTTAATTTCATTGTCAGATCTTTAAAAGTTATGGTAGTCTTGCAATAAGCCTATCTCTTACTTCAAAATAAATTTTTCCTACTGAACAAAAATCTGTCTGAACTTGCCTTTTGGTCTGAAGATATATAAGTATAGTGTCAGAACACTGGCATTTCTGAAAAGGCTCCCTGTTTTTTAAATCTAAGTTTTTTTGAGGAAGCAAGTTACAAATCTAATTTAAAAGTTAATATTAAACTGAGTATGCCAAAATAATTAAGACCAAAACTACTGATTTTAAATGCGTATTATAATAACAGTATTTTTTCAGCTTAATTATAACCTTCCCATATTGTCGCAATAGAAGTTGGTGAATTAATGTCTTTAATTTCATAAAGACAAGAGTAAATGTGAAATAAGTTCAGCAGGGATATGCGTGTGTACATATGTACATGTATGTATGTTGTGTATTTACCAAAGTCTTTAGTTCTTGATCATCTTCAGAAGTGTAGATCAGCTGATGCTTAACTCTGCGGCAACCTGCTTCAGCTGTAAGCTTATGTCTGCCAGGTGTCTTCTGTGTATGCTTGAGTGGGCTTCTGTAGCCCATTGGGAGCTATGTGTTAAATACCTGGTAGATTTTTTAAAAATCAGTTTTGAGAAATACTACAGATGAGCTGGTAGGGTGATTTTACAAGTAATGCAACACATAGTTACTTATGTCTTCATAAGCACCTTTAGTTTAGAAAGAGCTTGAACAGATGCATTTATCTTGATGTATTAAATGGTACTGTGAGCTCGTGCTATAAGTAGACACTACATGGGGTTTTAAATATCCACACAAACTTAAAAAAAAGAATCCATATTTGGCAAACAGGAATATGTCACTGTCGTTGATCATCTGCTTCATAAAGAATTTTAAAGTGTTTTTTAAGAAATTATAAATTGTCTTTTAAATCTTTTATTTTTGTAAAGAGTATTTGATGCAAGTTGTGTTCTGGACTGAGCTGTACTTAAAAATAGTGTTCATGCAGCGCCGATCAAATGAATGTCACAGTAAGGGGGGATGTGTGTGTGTGTTCCAGATCGTCCTGAAAGGAGCAGCAAGACACCAACTGACGTTTTACCTCAGATTTCTTTTCCTGGTTCCACTGATAGAAGAGGTCAAATTTCAGAATTTCCCACAGAAGTAACAGATCTTGGTAATTACAGTTAATTCAAAACATAATTACTAGATAACTTAAACAGAAGATTCACCAACAGTGCTACTTCGGGTAGCTGCTACTGCTGTTTCCCTGTAACTTGCTGAGGTGCAGAACCCGACATGTAAGGCTGCCAGGTCTCTGCAGCAAAGCTGACAGAGTTTTTCCCAGAATGAGTGATTCAGTCATTCTTCACTGTGTTTTTAGAGTGTATGAAATACAGAATTAATCAAATGGGATAAAATGGGTTAAACAGTGAACTATAATTATATACAAATTCCTCGTGTTTGTATTTCCTATGGTCATAGGGCCTTTAGAACTCCTAATACTACAAAGTCATTTTTTAGCGCTGGGAATAAACCTTTTCCCTAAGAGCTGGAGCATGTCTTATGGTCATCCTTCTGACTGCTGCCAGTGTTTGCCAGGCTGTCTTGTCTGAGTGGACTGAAGTATTAAATACATTTCTTTCCTTAGGTTTTGGTAACCGCTGTGGAAAGCCCAGAGGACCGAGAGAGCCACCTTCAGAATGGACATGATCCGAGAACCAATGGACATACTATCAATAAATTATACTGGAAAACTCAAGTGCCACTGAGAACTAGAGAAATAGTATTCCACTTTTTTGGGGGCGACTAACACAGAGCAGTGTAGATCTAACTACCAAATGGTACACTCTTACAGTACATCCCACGCAAAACCTTAAACGTTGTTCACAACAGTGGATTCCAGTATTACAACTTAACTTTTTGCTGGGGCCATCTACCTGCCTTATTACACTTAGGAGAAAGTATTACATATGATTTATTTTGTAACTTCAAGTATTATTGCCTTAATGTCTTTTAACCCTGTTACACGCTGCTTGTAGACATATGTTAATATAGTAATACTTTTGACAGATTGTGTTTATGGACTACTTTTTGCTAACGTTTGATTACCATGTATGCATTATTTTGTATATGTACAGGGCAAGTAAGTATATAATTTGATAAAGTTGCAATCATAAAATATTAACAGAAGATGTAAGAAATCTCTGCATGATCTAAATTTTTGTGTACCTTATTTGTAAATTATTTGCCCTGAAGTTTTAGAAAATAGTTTCTGGGGTTTTTTACAAAACTTGCTGGACACACACAGCCAGAATTGCAGGTTAGCAGAGATAAAGATTGTAATACATTTTGTAAATTGTAAGCAAAAGGTTATTTTTATATTATATACTGTTTAATTGTCAGACCTAATTTGTTCTGGTTTTCATCTAGTCATGGAGATTCAGTAAGTGCCTTGGAACAGTATTGAATTCTCTTAGCCGTGTACGTTACTTCAGTGTTTTGAGATCATCTGAAATTAGATTATCAAAAATATTTGTACGTTTCTAGTCTATTTGACCTGCCAGTAAAAGAGAAACCATTCTACATAATCAACACTCCTTAGTTTTCATTTTAGTGGTTCATCAGTTGCAATCTTTAGAAAATTCAGCTCTATCAACTTTCTGTATAATAGGATTTTACCGTTTTAATATGGCGCGTTTCTAATTTGGGAAAACCAGAACACACTGGTAAAAGGACTGTTTAAATACCACTGTCTTCTCTTACAAATGGTAAATACCATTTTTGTTGTTCAGCGACTGTGTATGTAAGAAAGCAACTTATATGAAGGTTCACATAGAGCCCTTGCAGCTACACTGTATCTTGGCAATATATTATGTCAAGAGTTAATCCTTATAAGGATTCCTTACTTAAACTTTTCTGTAATACAATCTTTAAATTAAAGAAAGTCAAAATCTCACTATGGGTGTTTTTACTCTTAGAAAAAAACCTGTGTTCAGAAGCAAACTAAAATAGAGTGAAGGATGCCAGTCTGCCTTAGCTTATGAATCTCGTACTTGAACACAATAGTGACCCTCAGGACCTTATTTTTAGTAACTACTTTAAAAGTTCTGGCTAGCAATAATGCCAGAGAAGTGAAGAAGAATGTTGAGAGGAAAAATGTTTATTTGAAGTAGTGAAACTATCTGTTAATCTGAACTTTAGCTGTGGAAACATTAGGTCTGATTTGCTACCTGTACTTTAGGGCCTCTCTGCTGAAGGAGAGCGAATGCCCAGGCAGCAGCGCTGTTCTGCCTTCAGGAGGTAACTAACTTTGATTATTGTTCTTGACTGTGGATTAATCACCATGGTTTTGGTACATATGACAGACTGCCTACCTGGGGAGCCCTTTCAAAAAACTGTATGCACTATAAATACTTATCTTAACTTCCCATGGATATAGTTTTGCAATTATTCATTTAAAAATAAATAATTCTGTGATATATGCCATGTGAAATAACCTACACCAACTAGACTCCTGCCTTGTCAACAGCTCAGACAGCTGGAATGTCTTGCAGTTGGCAGAATAAAGTTGGCCTGAATTTTGTTCCCCTTTCCCTGTATTGGAGACGATCGCTTGGATTTCATCCTCGGGACCTCCTGCCATTCTGTACTGCATGACGGGCTGTCATTGCCACCGCCACATTGCCACTGCGCAGTCCAAGCCATTGGAACTTCTTGCAACAACTGTTAAATAAGAAAATTTCCAGATATGTTTTGGGTGTACATTTTAAGGATATTTTCCATATTTCTCTACCAAGAAAATATAGGACTGCAGATTGTAGACTGTTCGCTCTCCATGTTTGAATTTCACTTGGAGCAAAGGCTGACAGAAGTGCGCGCTATATCCAGGCCATCTGGTAATGTTTAATTAACGTACACCCAGGTCCATTTTTTTTCCTGCATGGATTTAGATAGTGTTCCAGGCTGAGTTCATCAGAGTTCTCAGCCTTTATTTGCTTTACTGATAGGAAACTGCAATTGTCCTGTATGGATTTCTGTATCCATTGACAGATCTGTTTCACAATTCACTGTTGCCTGCTTACATTCAGCTGAGGTTTTTTTTATGTATTTTTCACCTGTTTTATTTCAGGTAAACAGACACTTCTTAAGTGCAAGGCAAAACCTGCCCAATACCAACACTTTCTGTATCCACTCTTGTGGGTGGTACAGAGATAAGTGCAGGGTTGGATGCTGTGTGCTGGATAGTTTCACATCATAACTTTCACATGTTAGCCAGCCTAACAGCTTCTTCAAAAAACCAAGACCTTTCTTTGCTGGGGTTTATTTAATTTGATTCTAAACGGGTTTAAAATATTACACTAGTTTGCAAATTATCACTGAATACAGATCTAGATCAAGTCATTTTATATATTATTTTTTATATATAAATAAATTATGGAATAGTCCTTCCTTTCATTTAGCTTCAGTCTCCACATTATATCTTCTGGAAGCAGTCTTCAAGTTCAGTCTCTGAAGTGCAGCTTTTCTCAAGCATACAATTGACTTGATCACTGTAGCAAAGAACCAGTAACACTGCTCAGCCCAGCTATTCGTAATGATCACTGCATTGGCTTGTTTGTTCCTTCAGTGTTTTTTTAATATTTCATTTATTAAATTGTCTAAATATATTGGTATCTAACAAAGCATGCAGTAAATTATCACATCAAGTGAAAGATGAGTTTTCCATGGTTTAGAAATGTAAATACTCAGGTCTCAGAAGAAAGCTGACCTCTGCCAATGTCATTGCTCATCTCTATTATACAGTGTATTTTAGGCTTTGCATTGATGTGGCAGGTAGGTTTCTGCCTTTTAGTGATTAGACCATTACTTTGGCATTTTTATTTCTTATTTATGTTAGGAAAGCCTGCTGTATTTACATGTAGTTTTCCTTAAAGAAGTACATGACTTGAACTGTGCAGAACAATGAAAAATCTCAAAGAATTACCTCTGGGTTTTTGTATATTGAAATCTTGGATTTGGTTTCTTTGGAGGCAAATTTCTAAAAGAATGAATGCAGATCAGGTGTGACACAGTGACTGGGCAGTGTGATAACCCCACGCTGCTGCAGTAGTTGCTTTAAGCTGTAGATTACAGTGTCTTCAGTCTTCTGACAGTTGAACACTTAAATATTTGCATTTGAGGATTAAATTGTTTTGGGTTGCAATTCGCACGGTGCCACATAGCACTTGGTATGAAGTGGTGACTTACGCTTTAATACGTAGTAAGTACAAATTCCATGCTTCTAATGCAGTAACGTTACTACTGGTTTATTTGTCACTTGGCGCAATGACGTAGCTCATCTGTTTCACTGGGCTTTTTGCATATTGTGCTGTAGGTGACAAGTGCCCCCTCCTGCGTTAGCTGGTTGATGTGGAAGGAGAGTTGTACCGCAATGAAAGCCAGAGCAGAGGCTTTGGGTTGCAAAGGAAGAGGTGGGCAGTGGCTGTCTCTTAGATCATCTGCTCTTTGGTGTACCTGAGGATTGAGAAGATGGTTGTGAGGAGGCGTGGTAAGGAGGATGGTTGAGAGGATGGTATTAAGGCAGAGCTGAGATTAGGGAAGCTCTGTGTAGCCTGGACACTTCTGGGACTCTTTGGCCTGGTACCTGGCAGACCACCCACAATCCAGTCAGAATTTATTCAACTTCTGATTAATGTATCTGCTTAATGTATGATGGTTAAGATGTTCCAATAATGATTGGTCACAATAATTACTGTTGTTCAAGCAAAGGAATAACCTGGTAAAAAATAAAGATAATGAGTGGCATCCTGAGGGGGGATAATAATTTTTCATTATTATTTGCAGTCTGAAAATATTCTTTCTGCTGCTAGATCACAGCAGAAATGAGAGCTAAGCCTTAGACTTCCTGGCGGGAAGGACGAGGGAATGGATTGTCAGTGCGAAGCAGGTGATAAACCTTGGAGCACACAGAGCACACTGCAAACAGGACTCTGTTTCTCCCAGTCTGATTTGGCCGTTCAGCTGAGTTAGGAAAAACTTGCGAACACTGGCAAGGATATCCTAAGGTGTAATGACTCAGACATAAAGGCTTTGTTGTTGTTGTCTGTGCTGATTTGTACTTACAGCAAGGGAATAAAAGAATAAAGAACTTTGAAAATGTAATGTGAGTTTAGTAACTGACTTGCTGGCTCTCAGAGCACTGGCATGAAAGGGCTTGTGTGTCGCAAAGGCAGCAGGAGCAGTCGTAAGGGTGGAGAAGGAAGACGAGTACCTCTGAAGTCTACTCAGGGTAATTGGATGACGCTTCTGAGTGGGAAGGACAGAAAGCCAGGACCACTGCCTAGGAGGTGTGTTCAGGAGGGAACACAAGGGGTACTAAAGATCAGTTAAAAAAATAAATCATTTGAATGAGTCGGTGAGTAGTTATGAGTACAAGCTGGCTTTATAGTAGAGCAAATTATTTGAAATCGGTGAACTCAAGTATTAACATAGTGTTCTCATGGCGAGTATTACCTAGAGGCAGCGTACAGTGCCTGACTGAACACTGACCTGATTTACTTCCCCCGTTACGGGAGCTCATGAAGTGAAGGAGCGCTGCCACCCTGCCCAGGGGCTTGTAACGCGGGCGGGCAGAGGTTCAGTCTGTGCTGTTGCTGTCTGCGCAGGCTCCACCAGGAGCTGCCCCTGCCCTGGTGCTGGCTCTTCCCTGGATGCTCCCAGCTCTGTTCCTCCCACAGTCTCTTGACTCAGCTTTTTGTTCTAATTCACTTTTTTTCCAACTGCTATGAGAGCAGTATCTTGTTTCCAACAGTTGTCTTGATTTTAGTTGTTTGGTGTTTTGCTGTGCCAGATTTTAGTTTGACTAAATCTTGCGTCTGCATTTGTCTTTTCCTTTTAGCCACTTTGGTACTGTGTCTGTCTTATTTAGGCAGATGTAATATCTGATCTGATGGGTGAGAATGGACCAAATGTAAAATCTTACTTTGCCGTGAGCACACCATCCCACATGGGATCCTTCCTTCCACTGGCCTTGCAGATAGATCTCACTGGGTTGTAATTGGTAGGGAATGTGACTCACACTTTTGAGGGTGTGACATTTAGACCATGGTGAGAATGTAGTCTATTTTGTGCATAATACAACATCAAGTCAACAGAGAAATAGTATGAAACAAGTTAAATAGAAGAGTGATGCTCTGTATCCTAATAGCATTTATTTTCTTTTTTTCCCCCAACCACTATTTCTCACACAGTTTTAAACTGGAGAGAGCAGATACAGCCTACTCCTAAACAAAGTATAAGTACAAAGTGTAAATACCTGAAAAGATCACACAGTTACTTCTTTTTTTCTTATCTTCATATTTTTCCAGGGTACCAAGTTACCTAAAAATGAATTTCTTTAGCTTTGCAGGAGCTGATGGGCTGACAAGTCACTTGTGAATCTAGGTAGGAAGGCTGCATGCTTTCCCGAAGCAACTGGTTTTGGTTTGAACATGCTTCTCTTTTGGCCAGGATGTAAATGTGGGCTGATTTAACTTCAGTAAGGTGATAGTCTGCTCTTTCTCATCTCCCATCTGACTTCAAGTATGTCTGGCAAAACACTTCTTACTTAGCTGTGGTAAAGAGCAGTTTCTCTGCCCTTACGAGTAGATCAGTAATACAGTAGTGGACAGGAGGTCAAGTGTGAGCAGGGGAGCACAGTGGAGGAGTGTTGGATGTTCAGAAACCAGCACTCTTGCAGGAGAGGCGAGAATGGTACTTCAGTAAAT